GCAAATGTAAAATGAAAAGGTGTAAAAGTAAAAAAAAAGAAAAAAATGAAAAATAAAATTTTTAAATACTTACTAATCATTGCTTGTTTTCCTTTTTCTTTTCCAACTTTCTCTCTTTCTCTTTTCCTTCATTTTCTTCCTTTACTCCATAACATTTTATAGAACTTTTTGTTTTTGTTTTTCTTTTTTTTTGAAACAACTGTTTTTTTCTTTCTTTCTTTTTTATTTTCCTCCTTTCTATTTAGTTCCACACATTCATTGTTTTTTTTTTTTAGAAACAAAACAATATGTTTGTTCATTCGATTTTTTTTTGAATTATTTTTGAAAATTCTTTTTTAAAATTCCTTCTTTTCCGTCAATTTTTTGTTATTATTTTTTTTTAATAATTTCATTTTTTTATATTTTTCTTTACTTTTCACACCGAAAGAATTTTTCCTTTTTTAAATGAATGAAAAAAATGGCATAAAATGCGAATGAAATATCTGAAAAGAAACATTTTTTTCACATTTCTGTTTGCTTGCAATAAAGAAAAGAAAAATGAAATTAATTAACAATTAGAACGTTATTTTAAAAAAAAAACGTTAAGAAATTATGAAAAACCTAAAAATCTTTTTGTTCTTTTTTTTGCAACTTTTCATCGTTTGCGATATTAAAATCTCATTAATAAATTTTTATAATAATTTCTTATCAAACTATTAATTATCATATCAATCATATATTTTGTTTACATTATGATTCATCATATTTCTTCAATCTTTCTTTCCCTCCCTTCCTTCTTACATTTTATCATTGTTTAGCTATACCATTAAGCAGCTAACCTTTGATTATACATATTAATACTTCACTGTATTGATCCTTACTATTATTGATTTCTTCTTTTCTACACTTAACTCCTTTAACATCAGCTGCTAATCCTTTTTATTATCATTGGTTTATCTTTTTTTATTTCCTCTCGAAATTATCAATACATAAGAATTGATTTATCGTTTTTTTTTCTCCCCCTTCCCAAATTATTTTATAAAAATAAGAAACCTGTAAAGGCTCTGATTTCTTTTCCTCATCTATAATAATTGAAATTTCAATAAATTTTCCTCGAAATTTGATTGGAATTACTTCTTTTTTCATTTCTAGTACATTTCGTGTGTACGGTACATCAGGAAATACAACTCCTGGTAGCAGTGGTACAAGTGCACCGGTTATGGTTGATAAAATAGTGCCAATGAATTCGACAACAAATTCCCGAAAGGTGAAATAAAATCTTTTAATATATTAATTCATCAAATTATTGTTATTATTTGATTTTAAGATTTTATCAAAAAATATGCTTTTAGACCAAAGAAGACAATTGCTGTTATCATTTACCGCAATTTGATTAATTTATAAATTTTTAATTTTATGCAACATTTGAAATGTAACAAATGATAAGATTAGTGCTATAATTTGAAGCTATTTTTCTTGTTCGAACCAAACTATCACTTTCACTTCGACTTATCATCAAACCAAACATATCTTTTTTTCAGTCTTTCTTTTCTTTTTGTTATCATCATTTCAAATAAGTTTTCAAAGGAATATCGTATTCATGTTCCTCTGTTTCTACCTTATCTTTTAGTTACAAAATTAATAAACCTACATTTGAAGAAGAAAAATCGTAAAATTTGGAAAATACAATCAATTTGAAAAATACAATCGAGAAAGTTATTTCACTAATTTAACTTAAAAATATAATTGGTTCACTTTATTAATATAATTAAATCTATAAAATGTTTAATAAATGCATTGCACATCATTACCTATTCATTACTTACATCAAACTATACAACCACAGTATTGATCTTTACATTAATTAGTCTCTAAATTTAGGTCAATATTAAAATTTTGTCATCGCAAAAATAAGATCACTTTGTCAATCAATATCAATAGTTATATCAGTATGTCATATTAATATCGATAGGATTGTGTATTTGATTATTTTCCTTTTTTCCCCCGATTTGGTTTTCTTTTTTCCCTTATAAATATGATTGGACTAATCGAATATAGGCTTATTAAGTAGATAATTTGCATTTGTATTAAAAAGTTACAGTATACTTTTTGCTATTGTGTTTAACCCCGTCTAACCTAATATTTTGACTTGTTTACCTAATATCTAAACCGGTTTAACCTAATATCTAGATTTAGTGTAACATATTAATTGATTTTTCTTATCATTTAAGAATATGCTTACTTCAAATACAGTAATCAGTTTTAAATTCATGTTTATTGGGTAAATGTGTATCATTTTATGTTTTAGATGATGGTAGCTCCCCAACCGCAAAATTCATATCATCGAGAACGTAATGGTTCCAGTTATAAAAATGCAATTCCTAGGTAATCCTTTATTCGCCAATTTTTTTAAAAAAGAAATGTTAATTATGAAATCAAGAAATCACATTCGAATTTTGGAAATTAAGGAATCAAATTTTGAATTAAATTTGTATTTTATCACTGTTAATTCAACATTTTTATTTCTAACATTTCTATAAGTCTATGGAAATGTCTTTTATTCATATTTTTACTACTTCCCTTTACTTATCCGCAGATTCATAGTTTAAATATAGTTTTTAAAGTATTAAATTTTACTTATTTCAGCCAACAAAGACGACAAAGTGTGGGTGCATTGGTACCTGCATATCATATCTCATCATTTGCTGATAATTGGCAATCTCGAGATCGTGATAGTCCACCAAATGATCAGCAAATAGTTGGCAAGTATTTCAGGCAGAATAGAATTACCCAAAATTAATTCGTTCCAGTTTAAATTGCGTTGCAGTATCTTTTTTAAGTCGATCTCCTTCACTTTAAATTTAATCCATTGAATTTTATTACTTAATTTAATGTTTATATGTTTTGCTGTACTACACCATGCAGCATTTTTTTTCCAGTTCGTATATATTTTCATAAAACAATCAACTTGTCTTCCTTTTTTAATCTAAATTTAAATCTAACTTCGATAATTTAAATTTAATTATGATAAATTCAGCTGATGATCGTCGTATGAAAAATAATAATAACGATGTGCGAGTGGCAGTTTTAGAACAACGTGTACGAGAATTAGAAGCTGCTGTCATTCCAGGTCAAGCACCATCAACATCATTAGCTGCTGCTTCTTCCTTTATCATTCCTGTCATAGGTTCCAAAAGTATGTTCTTTTTACTAGTACCATTTAATATTGATTAAAATTTAACAGGATTTTGCAGTTTTCCAAGTTTAATAAAATTAATATTTTAATTTGATAATATTTGTGAATATAAAATTTTTATTAATTACTTAATGTTTTTTTTTTCGTCCATATTTGAGTGAAGGATAGATAAATAAAATTGCTGGTATGCAAATAATTCTTGAATAGTCCTTGTTTCTTTCTTCTGTAGGAGTACCAAAAGCAAGTACCATACATAAAGAAGTGAAGTACCATAAAGCACCATACACAAATTAATTGATTTAATCCTTATAAATCTAACTGATTTCCTTACAGATTCATCACGTATTCTTCGTTCAACTTCCGGTCAGTTTGTAGTTTCGGCTGCAGCAACACCAGTAACTCAACAATTGATGGCTCAGGAAGTAGTTGACAAAGAAATTGAAGTTGAAAGGTAAGAAGAAAAATTTGTAGATTAGGCGAATTTTTTGTTTTCTTACTCTTATATTATTCTCTTTTTGTTGTTGTTGGCAATACCTTTGAAATTGATTTTTTTTTTCGTGAATTTTCACTGAATTATATATTTTCAATTCAATATTTTCAATTTAAATTATTCAAAATTTAATCAATCTCAATGAAATTTCTTTCTCTATTACTTAATATTTAAAGATTGCAATCATTATTACGCAAATGTTATTCACGAATGGAATTACGGCAAGTACAATATGATGAGGAAGTTTGTTTCTGCCTGTTTTTTTTTTTGGCTGAATTAGTAAATACAATTTTTTGTTTGTTTATTTCTGCTTCTTTGTTTATCTCTTGAAAAATTCAATCACACCGTGATCTTTGACCCATAACTTGTTTTCATGTTTCTTCTTGTGAGAGAAATATTGATCTTACTTTCGTGAATGTTTGTCATATTTATTATTTTCATATCTTTCTATTATAAATTGTAGACTTTTTTAATTAAATTCAATTTCACTGTTGAAATTAAAATAAAAAGTCGAAATAATGATTGCTTTTTTCAGGTGAATGAATTTCGTCGTGAGTCTGAAGAAGCTAAATTGCAATTGACAAAAGTGAAGGCTCGATTAAGTGAACTGGAAAAGGAATGTGTTGCATATCGTGAAAAAGCAATGGCTGTTGATGCTAATCGTAACAGTACTGTTGCATCATCCTTAGAAAAGATTGCTGTTCAGGTAGATATCTTAAAATGATAATGAAAAAGTTATATATGGAAAAATAAAATGTTCCGTTGTGATGATAGGAATGACAAAAATACTAGTAATGATGATGATAATGATGATTCATATACCTCAAGCTGCATATAATAATAGTTTTCATTAATTTCATCTTCGAAATTCGAAATTATTTGGTAAATTTTTGTAAAACTTTCAAGAATTTTTCTTCCATAATAATTTGATCTGTTTTTTTTTAATTAAAGAAATGAAGGAATGAATTGAAATGCTTTACTATTTTGATTACATTTGAATGCAAAATGTACAGCTATTCGAAATTGTAGGAGCGAGAAATTGCAATGTTAAGGAATGATTTGGAACGACATATGCAACTGGTGAAAAATTTGGAGCGAGTAAAGAAGGAATATGAATTTTTGGAATTACAAAATGAAGCGCTGAATGCAAAACTTGATTCGAAGGAAGCTACTATTCGTGATCTGGAAGATAATATTCATGTAAGTTTCTGATCTTGAAAATTTTTCTCTTTTTCTCACCAATTTTTTTATTAAATTACTATGAAACGAAAAAAGAAAAATCATATATTAATATAAGGTTAGAGTAAGAAAGAATTTTGTTGCTAATTTTAATTTTGGAATTCTCGTCCTTTTCTCTGCAAACATTTTTGGTGAATTCATTTTGGGCCCAATTTGATAATGGAAAAAAAACAAAAAATTAGCTTAATCGAATGGTTTTTCCTCTCCAACTACATGTAAATGCTTTGATTTTTCTTTTAAAATTCACTAAAACTTGGAATTCCTAAAAGAAGAGTTCAGAAGAATATAAAAGAAATAACGAAAAAAAGGAAAAATCATTTGAAGAATCAGAAAAACTGACTGAAATGTTGCGAATTTGTAACATAGAGATCAATTATAAGAAAATACACGTCAAGGAAAAAATAGTAATTTAATTTTCATCTTCTAATTCAAATTTTAAATCAGAAATTTAATGGAGCTTATCACTTACTGTTATAGGCAATGAAAATGGATGCATCTCGTAAAATGGAAAGTGGTTCAGTGACACCTAAAGCGGGCGCTTTCTCATTATTCGATGTCGAACCAACGAAATTTCTCGGTACCTCAAAGGAATCGAATGTACGGGAAGCGGTATTTTTCTAATATCTTAACATTTGCAGTATCGATTATCACTTAATCGGAGGAATGTTGTATAATTTGAAGATTTTCAAGATTAGATTGAAAATTCATGGTGTCCTGATTTTGTAATTTAAAACGTAGAAAACTCCCTTTTTTCCTTGTTACATGCCTGCAAGAATATATCGGAATTATTGTAAGAAATACAAATTTAGATAATTTATGTTTAGTAGTTAGAGTAGAACGAACAATTTAAATAAGTTTGTTTTTTGTTGTGAAAAAGTTAAGATATCATCAAATCTATGATATTCTTATTGATGACCCACCAACATCATTAAATCTGTGATAATGATAATGATAAATCTATGATAATAATAATAACAACAATAATAATGATAATAGTAATAATAATAATAATAATAATAATAATAATATATATATATATATATTATA